GTTTTTTCCACACTTTCTGGCATCATTCTAATCTAATTATAACCCGGTTTGAGATCCAATTTTGAGAAATTGTGTTCCTGCCAATTCGTCGATTAATTCCTCCACAACAGGAATTGGGTATTTATCAAGAACAGTAGCTTTGTTCAAAGCTCTATACTCAAAACACACTCTCCAAGTTTGGTCTTTCTTTCATATCAAAATTACTGGATTAAAATAGGCGTTGTTGCTTGAACGAATAACATCGATAGACAGCAGCTCCTCGACCCATCGCTCAATTTCCGTTTTGTGTACACGAGGATAACGATAAGGGCATACACACACCGGACCCTGATTCGGTAACAAATCGATAGCATGATCCTTACTACGGACACGAGGTAACCCTATGGACCTCAACGAAAACAGAAACAAAATGCACAAACAATTGTTGTAATTGTTGCGATTGGTGTTTAGAAAGTTCAGATGATAACCCCAGGATTTGATCAACCATACACTTGGATGAGACTAACGAAGCTTTAGAATTAGACAACCAGCTGTTGTGAGGTGATGATTGAATTGACGAAGAGAACGGAATTCCCTGTAAACAGACTTCTCGACCGTGACGCCAAAACCTCATTGACTGAGACTCCTAATTGTGAACGACATCGCCCAAAGTCTGTAACCATTCAATTCCCAGCACCATATCCAAACTTCCCATCTCGAACAACAAAGCATCGACAACAAATTCACATGTAGCCAATGTAACTGCTATCGCCGAACACTTCTTAGACACAAAAACCTTGTGTCCATCGCCTAGTTTGAATTGCAACCCTTCAAATGACGAAATTGAGCGATCAAGTGCGTTCACTAAGCGGCTAGAAACAAAATTGTGAGTGGCACCACGGTTAACCAATACAACAAAAGGAGTTCCACGAAGCAAACCTTCCAATTTTATTGTATTGAGCCCAGATTTGAAAATATCACTTGCACCCATGAATTCAATAACCGAGCACTCACCCATATCCCCCTTCTGTCCGTTCGACACCTCCTCGCCTTTACTCAAATCAATCGAACGAAGATCTCCTTCAAACTCCGATTCTTCATCATCCGCCAAAAGCATAACCCTAAACTTTGCCTCTGGGCATTTATGCGATTCCAAATTGTTGGCCACATTTAAAGCACAACCCCTTCTTGCGACTATCCTCCCACTCCATTTGAGTCAACATACGAACACCCAGATTCGAGAGGATAAATTTTTTGTCGATTCATTCCGCACAGGACCACCCACCGTCGAATTAGAGGAGACACGGGATGGACCGAATGGTTCGGCTCTTGTGGCTTGTTGGCGTTCAGGTCCAACACTAGGATTTTAGGCTTTAAATCCATTTTGGCCCATTTGACCAAACGGAAGCCCAGATAAATTTTTATCAGAAAACAAAGAATGTCCCTGGTATTGATACCTCACTGTTAAAGTCGAATTCTCCGATGGATGGAGCATCTCCTCCACATCTTTTGCCAAATACATGGCGTCTAATCGAGTTTGAAGACAATGGAGACGTACCCATCGCTTCACCTCCGGTTGTTAACCCGCCAAAAAATACCCCAAGGCTTGGGACTTAGGCAATTGAGGAACAAGGGATAACAAATATTCCAAATCATCTATGTAATCATGGATTGAGTTTACCTGTTTAATCGAAGACAACTATTCATAAGGGTTTTGAATCTCCAATCCACTGAATCTCTGTAATAGTTCCCGAGTCAAATTCTCCCACGTTTTTCTCCATGGATTTCCTTTACCACCGCAAACCAGTGTTGGAAGAGGTTGCAGATTGTTCGGTGTCCCATGAATCTTGAAATACAATTTTGCCTTAGCAATCCAACCACACGGGTCAAATCCGAAATTTTCAGGAAGTTCGATTTTCTGTCGCGTAGTGCATATTCTCCCCAGATCTCCCTGAATTGAAATTGAACGAAGGGGGAGTACCAGATCTCCCTGAATTGCATTGAACGGAGGAGGAATATCAATGTTTATTGGAGAACCTTCTCCCGCTTCTGGATTCTTACCATGCTGCTGCTTCACCCATGACAGTATATACGATCTGAATTCCTTTTGTTCCTCTTGATCTTCCTTCATGGTTTCGAGGGACGATTTAATTCCCTGAACATTTGAATGAAGCTGTTGGATCCGTTCATCATCATTTTCCAATCGAGCTTGTAGACGTGTCTCGACAGATCTAGGCATAGCAACGGGGCGGGGATGGGGCGGGTTTTGTAATCCCCGGCCCCGGTTTGTAGTAACATCCCCGGCCCCGGTCCCCGGTCAAACCCCGGTAAATCCCCGATCAAATCACATGAAGAATATCCCTTAGTTTGATTCTGCTGGGGATCCCCGGCCCCACTCCGACCCTGGTTTGAGTAACATCCCTCGGCCCCGGCCCCGATTTGAGTTTACCGGGGATCCCCGGCCCTGGGACCCGTTTTAGCGGGGAATCCCCGTCCCCGTTCGGGTGAACCGGGTTCCCCACCGGGTGGGGGCAAATCACCATCCCTAGACAGATCCAGCAGGTCGGAAATGTTACACAATCGACTGTTTACATAAGCAAATCGAATTAATTGAGAAACAAACGAAAGGATTACAATACGGAAGAAAGGAAGAGGACGATACAGACTCCAATCCTCAAAAGGATCCCAGGGAAGAATTCCCTTCTCCAAGCGCTAGCTAGAGCCTAACTGACGCTTATTTTTCTGCATGCCTCCACCACAAGCCAAAACTCCTTATTATAATATGTCCAAATTACTAATTCCCTTTATAGGCCTTGGGCCGTCTCACATAGACTTTCCAAGTGGGAGGCCTAGAATTGATTGGGCTTAATTGAGAAGAAGCTTGGTTTTGTACTGCATCATAAACCAAAGGCATAACTAGACAGTATGGATGGAGTTTAACCAACTTGCTTGATCGAGGGTATGGGTGTCAATTGATGACTGCAATTTTGGGTCTTATCTTAGCATGACTAGGTGCAGCCCGATAAGTGTGGATGCTCTTGGTGGTACACGATTCTATTTTTGAAGATGAGAGTTTAGTTGGTTTGCTTGTAACCATTTAACCTGATCTTGATCATCAATAGGAAACATGTTTGATCCAGATTGGATTGTGATTGTGATTGTGCTAGTGATAGTGAAGCCAACTTAGATGGCCTTTGCGCCAACAGTGTGGTTACATCTTGCATAGGTTAGTAAGATCTTTCGATGTGGCTAAGTGCAATAGACAACATAGCTTGTTTCTCAATCCTCATAAATCATAATACATGAGAAGGATGAATTAAAGCTTGAAAGAAGAGTACATGACGTTACAACCGCAGGTGCCTATGTTCAATCAAGCTCAATGAAGTTCAACAAAGAGATGGCTACACAATTGGATCAACCTTTACTCAACTAAACTGGGAGAAAAAAGGACTTGCTCCATACAAGTTGATTTTACACAACCAAATTGAGGAGAATCACAGTGAAAAATATGATACCCGGCTTCGCTTTCTCGCATTTGAGTTGGAGGGGTTTATTCTTGTCGTAACATGATTGTTACACATAGACCTTAACTCATAGACCATGCTCCTCGTTATCATTTTGGGAAGCTCAGTTGGATTTGCGCTTGGAGTTACTCAACCAGGCTACAGACACATTCTCTTGTATAGAAAATTACGTTCAAGGCCCTTGGTCTACCTAAGGAAGGAGTCTCCATACTGTTCCTTACTTCCTTTGTTCCTCGTGCTTATTTTGTGCATTCTAGATCGAATATTAATGAACTTAGAGTTTAAAAACAAGATGTTCTACGGCCTCATGATGTGTCTCATAGGGAGGTTGGCTCTTATGCTTAAACATTCGGTTAGTCATACTTTTGGTAGATTGCTTCAAGTCCCTAACTCGAACTTCACAGGATTAATATGGGTCTTGGGTAGAGACCTCCACAAAAGCTCAAGCCTGAAAAGATGACCTTGTGAAAGTGCCTTATTGATTGCTTAGCCTCGATAAGCATCAAGCAACGGATCCATATATCAACTAGGCCTTGCATTGACTAAGGGAAGCCATTTATGTTAAACAAGAAGAGTTTATGGGAGCGATATGGGGAGAGAAGGCCTCTTCGAGGTAGACTAAAGGAGATTCTCTTTTAGGTGTTGTTCTATCGATGAGCTTGTACTCACTAATCCAGGTGGGTGATCGAAGGCCCATTTATAAGAATTTTCCGAGAGAGAACTCCTCATTTGCATGTTCATTCATCTTTTAAGCAAAACTTCTTTGGCAAAAGAGCAGTGTTTCTTTGAGTGTTCGTGTATAGTCAAGGGATTGATCTTGAAAAAAGACAACTGAAAACTTGAAGACAAAGATTTAAGGATTTGAAGTGTTTGACTCCAGGATGAAACTAAACAATCCCAAGGCAATAGATAAGATGAGGTCTAAATAGCAAAACAACCAAGTCAAGCTCTTTGTTTTTCTACCTATTCAATATAGAACAATGAGCTCTACAAATAATCATATGCTTCCTATATCTAGTTGATAATAATAAATCAAACTGAACTCAAAAACACGCAAGTTATGAGAACTACTAAAACTCAATGGTACACTCCACTTAAGTTGCTCCTTCCATCATACGAGCATTGCAACTTTTGACTTCACAGTCTACACATAGTTTAGTGCAATTCTTTGACCATTAATCCGATGTCTAGACTAGAACAATTTTATAGACCAAATTCAATAAAACCAACATTTTGTATGATGTCTACGGATACATAAGTAACATAGTTTTAAACTTGCCAAAAAGAAAAAGGAAACACCACTCCTTGATGGCTTGGACTGATTCATAATTTCAAAGCCATATTTCAAATGCAATTTAAATGGGACATGTTAAGATGAAAATTGAAATGGATAAGTATGTCAGTGACAGATTTGGTTTCAAATCTTAAAATCAAAACAATTTAGGGAAAAGAATCAAGAAACAATGGAATAATATGTATTTGTCAACCAAGTAGTACCTCTTTAAGCACTGAAAGGTTCACTTCAGAGCTCATTAAAGAATCCTCAGCTGCTTCTCTAACCTTCTCCGCTTTCATCTTCCCCTTCCCATCAAACTTAATCTTCATATAAGCACAACCTGTTTTCTCATTTCCATCAATTTTCACACCTCTAGTTTGCACCTTTTCCTTATTCATCAACAAAACCAACTCGTGACCAAAATCATCATCCCCTACCTTTCCCATGAACGCTGCCCTACCGCCAAGCCTAGCGTGTGCTATGGCCACATTCGAAGGGGGTCCACCAGGCGCCCTTGCAAACTCCGGCGGGTCCCACTGCAGCATTTTCCACTCTGAGTACATGTCCGGGTGCATTTGCTGATCTGAAACCCTAACTGTGGGAACGAATTCCTTCTGTGCAGCTCCAAAGCAGCATATCAGAGGAGGGTCTTCGTAAGGGAAATCAACTCCATCGTCAAAATCATCCACCTCTTCTTCTTCTTTTTCATTTTTGTTTACTTCTGTTTCTGATTTCTTCGTGTGACTGGAACTTTTAGTGGGCGGAGTCGTTGTGGCGGTAGAGGTAGACTTTTTCCGGCCACGGCGAGCGGGTTTCGGTGGGGAGGAGACAGTGTGGTCGCCATTGATAGATGCTCTAGGAATGTAAATTGTGGGGAAGGAACGGAAGCAGGCCGTAGGATGAAGAGATGGCAGTGAAGGAAGGAACTGAAGAATTGCCATGACTGGAGATGGTAGTTGGGGTTTATCCATGGATATCGGGGTTTTTGATAGGGTTTTCCTTATCAGGTAACAGAAAAGGATTCAAAATAAGTTTTTTTTTCTTTAAATTCCTAATAACATTATATTTTGATTTTGATGAGTAAAATACAATTTTGGTCTACGTGTTTTTTTAAAAACTAGTTATATACTCTTGCAATACAATGGGAGCCGTGAATTTTAACGATTTTGAAGTTTTATTGGTTCTGTTCGAGAAGATTTAACGATGATATAAGTTACACTTCGTCTTTACATATTAATACAATTTGAATAAATAAGAGTTATGGTTCCAATTACAGTCTATCAATGAAAAAAATTGTATGACAGTTTAAAATCCAATATATTTAAAATCCACATATTTAAACGACTCCACAAATATGTTCGATTTACAACAAGAGCAAAGAATCAAGAAATCGAGAGTAGGGATGGGAATGGACCCCGACTCGTCGGGTAACCTGGTCCACCCACCCCGTTCGGGGACGGGGATGGGGATCCCCGCTTGGCTCAAGCCGGGGACGGGGAGTTTTATATATATGTATTGTGGGCTTTGGGCTTTGGCCTGTTAATTGTATTAAGCTAGAGAATGGTCTAGCCCAAGCTAAGATTGTATTAGGCCTGTTAATAGCCCCAAAATCCTTCCCGTCTCATTCATCGTCTCCTTCCAACCCAAAATCCCTAATTCCCTATTGACGATACGACGACTCCTTCCTCAGTCCTCAATACGATACGAGTTACGACTCCCTCTCCCTACCTTAATCGGCGACAGCGGCAACGACAGCGACGGTCTCCGACTCTCCCTCTCTGGCTCTCCCTCTCCCTACACGTTCACTTCACTGGCTTTTCTCAGTAGAGGTAGACATTGTCTTCTTTACTTCTCCCTTGATTTGTATTTCCAAATAGATAATATTGTTATAAATTGTTTTCAATAGGCTTCAAAAAAATCCCCTTTTCCCCGTTGGGGATCCTTGTTCCCCGTTGGGGACGGGGATGGGATGTGATCATAATCCCCGGCGGGGACGGGGACACATACGGGGGATCGGGGACGGGGACGGGTATTGGGGTCCCCGCCCCATCCCTGCCCCATTACCATCCCTAATCGAGAGCGAGAACGAGAGTTCTAGATCAATTGAATAGGAGAACTTTTAATAACTCATCGTGAATATTAGTTTGAATCTCACCTTGGGGGATGGGGAGAAGACATGGAGGTATGAGATGGTGAAAGCATGAGTGAAAGGTGTCAAAAGTATCTTGGGAACATAAAAAGAAAAGATAATAATGTGCATTGGTAACTTGTACTATATGTTATTTTAATTGTAGATTAAGAGATTTTAAGACTGAATGCATAAAGTATTAGTACTTAATGCATTATGAGTTGTTTTTAGGACTTTTAAGACTTTGTGCATAAATGTATAGTACTTTGTGCATTAAAAATTGTTTTTAAGACTTTTGACAAATCTGGTTTATAAGGTAATATAGTTTATTTGGTGTTCAAGAGACATCAAATCTTACATTAATATCAAATTTGACACTAAATTATTGAACTTTATAGAAATTTTGGTGTAATATTGTTTAGATCATCTTCGATCTTAACATCAAAAATACCAAATTTGATGGGCTCATTAACATGTAAAAGAAACCAACTTCAACTAAGCTTAAAAAAAAAGTAAATTGATGGACCCCACTGTAAACTAAAAAAACATATTTTATTTATTATTTTTAATAACAATAATTATAATTTGTAAATAATATTATAATAATAAATAACTAGTTGCATGCCCGCATAATAAGGGTGCTCATGGGTTGGGTTGATCGGATTGAAGACATTTGAACAACCCAACCCAATGCTTGCAGTTTGAAAAATCTTAACCCAACCCAACCCAACCCAACCCAACCCAAACCGTACGGGTTGATTGGGTTAGTCGGGTTGATCAGGTTGATACTTTGGTATATTAAAATGTTCTTCTAACCTTGAATATTTTATTTCTTTACTCATAATTTCTTATTCATCATCAACCATCGGATACAACTCATCCATACTTCTTACATATATCACATTCAATTAATTTTCTCAAATTACATATATATGTTTCATCGTTACTGAACATATACACGAATGAAATATATAGAGATGGAGAATAGATTGAAAATATGTATATATAAAGAGCGTATATGACAGTGTAATTGTCTAATGTATATATTAATATAAACTCAACAACCATATTAAATTCAAGAAATAAAAGGATATCGGATTCATCGGGTTGGATTGAGTTCAAATAATAGTAACTCAATATCAACCCAATACTTATGGTTTGAAAATTTTAAAACTCGATTAGACATCGGATTACTTCGAGTTGAGTTATTTGACGTTGGGTTGGGTTGGTCGGGTTTTTGAGCACCCCTACCGCACAAATGCGACGGGATGTGAAAGTTTTACTTTTATGTTCTAAATTTACTTAAAAAGTTAAAGAACATGTATTAAAATGGCGGTTGAAGATAATAGTCAATTCCAATAACTTCATACTAGAACAAATGTGTATTATTTTTTATGTGTGTGTTACAATGTAACTTTTTCAAAATAAAATGAATTGATTATGTACGAATAACCAATGACATTATAGTTACAAAAAATACATGCATCGGATTCATAAACAACTAATACATATAAACTCATTACTATAAATCTATAAAATTTAAGAATAAGGAATTATAGTTAGAACATTTTATTTGATACTAAAAATGATTAAATAGGCTTGAAATAAATCATCGTCTATGAGAAACTTCACACCATTTTGGTACACGTCAAGAGCTTGTATCAAAACTCATGCAGAATCATTCAAACAAAAGTCATTTAAGCAAAACCAAAGTTTGTTGTTATCCCACCTCAAAGTGTTTGAAGAGGGAATCGACCACTTTCAACCAATTCTCACGTTAAATTTTTCTATATGTTTCCAGAACATGAGGTATTCGCACTAATTTAAAACCAACATAACCTTCTGAAAAAGAAGCTTTAGTGAGATCACAATTACACAAATGAATTCGAGATGAGATAAAAAACCAAATTTCTATCAGTAAGATGAACAATATTAAGGACTTAGGGGGTGTTTGAGATTGCTTATCTAAAACAACTTATGCTTGTTTACAAAAGCACTTATCAACTTATTATAAGTAAAAAAAGTTTAACTTCTTCAAAAACTTTTTGTTACCAGTTTGGCACCGGTATAAATTGTTTATCTAAACACTCAAAAGTGCTTATTACCGGTGCCACACCGGAATAAGTCAATAAGTTATTTTTATAAGCAATCCCAAACACCCCATAAATAAATAAAAAATGAACAAAATGATACAAAAGCAAAGTATTGCTATCTCACATCCATGTGTGAGATATGTGGAACCTTATGTGCTAGTTACACCAAAAGGAGTAATGTACGAGATATGTGGAACCATATCAAATTATTCTCCAGAAGAATTCTTAGGAAAGAATGGAGGTTTCAACATACATAGAGAAGAAAGAGACATATAAGTTATCATCATCTGGAGAATAATCTCTATAAGATCTCCTATAGAATGATTCATATTAATTTGCAGTTTTTGTTTTTTGAAAATTGTCATTTTTAAAAGTTGCATTTAAGTACATAAATGCAGCAGTACTACACTAGGAGAAATAGAACACATAAAGCTAAAGAGAAAAGGAAAAAAAGTCATTGTGACCATGATCATGGTGATCACTCTATAATTCAATCTTCTCTCTTTTTCTTTGGATATTCAAATCATGAGAACTTGCACTTAAAGCCCTTTGCACACTGCCAGGCTTTATAAAACTCACATAATATATATTTGGGATCAACACCTGGAACACACAATAAGATTTAATCAAACACTAAATTTGCAGACTCTAAAATATATTGGATTATCACTTCATATGAATGGTGTTTCAACTGTTATAACCACACACACAGAGAACAAGAAAACATATATTTTGAACCAACAATTTTACAACAGCAACATCTACAAGTTATGAAAACAGCACTCACAGGTACAAACAAGAAAACATCAAAATGAAAACCTAAAGACGCAAAGAGTTCTTTCAAAACTGCAACAAATACATTCAACCACAGGCCAAGAGTGTTTTGATCTATTCGCACCAAACTACCAACCCTAACCAATGACCCATGACAAAAGGAGGTTCAAGAATCAAGACCTTTAGGTATAGTTGGCAGTTGTGTTGGCAGTCGTGTGAGTGAGTGAGTGATTCCAAACCCAAAGAAAGTATGATTTAAGCTTTGGGATCAAAAAGAAAATTTCCACTTCAAATTTGGTTGAACTTCTAAACATACAAAAAAATTATAGGTGTTAAGTTATAACAAAATTCACATCAATTTCAAATCCAAAAGTATTACATTTGGTCTCAAAGTCAAAAGTCTTCTCCGTTTTCAAGGATGACAGATGCATAGAAAAGCACAAAATTTGCAACCCTAACTACACAATAGTTCTTCCTACACATGCAGGATACATTCATACAAACACAAAAACATCATAATTAAAAAACTTAAAATGTATAACTTCACATGCATATCAATGTCATAATCTTAAATCATTGTATTTGAAAAACGAAAATGAAAGGAAATAAAACCCATACCTACTAGAACTTTGGGCTGACTAGCAGCAATCTTAAGCAGATCATTCAACTCCTCTTTTGCCTTCTCTTCATCCTCCTTTTTCTATTCATTCAAATCAAAAACATCAAAATAATAACCCCAATCAACAAAAAACACAACAAACATCGGTTGATCAATCAAATTAAAAAAGAAAACATAAAATCAATCATACATGCAACCAACCTTGGCATTGATTTAGGATCAGGCTTAGATTGAACAAATTGATGTAAAGATTCGACGTATTTCCAAACATTTTTACTCTTGTTCTTATTCTTGAGACTGAAGGTCTTGTCTTCGATGATCTTCTGCTTCTTTGCTAAATCTGCTTTCGATTGATGCTTCAGAGGCATCTTTAATAGTCATCATATCCCTTTGGAGACATCTTTAATAGATTAGATACCATCGATCATTTTAATGTGTATCCATCTAATCCTCAAAAGGCTCTCAATCGTGTACATCATCGCTTTAGAGGTGTTTGAATCGATCTTGAAAATGATTCAAACCAGTGACCTATAAGAAAATATTGTGTAATAAAATCATGAATTAGTACATACAAAATAATTAGACAACCATGTGGTCCCTGGAAAACAACCAGAAAAATCTCCGTAGCTGAAGGATTCAAACCAGTGACCTGTAAGAAAAATCCCAAACTTTATTGTGATTTGACCAAGTCATGTTTTAGTCATAACATATAGAAATCTTACCACGAGACAAAATAAATCCTTGTTAATATTACAACTATGATAACTTACAGGAGGAATGTATGCTAAACCTAAATAATGAAAATCCCTTTTAACACTAAAATGCATTAACAATTGAGGTTAAACATAACAGTCTTGGATACTTCACCACACAATGCAAAGCTGGATATCAGACCATGTAGTTTTCTATCTCATACAAATTGCATTGACTATTAAGTGATTTGAACAACTATTACATGTGCTCCAACCGATTGCTTAAGAATGGATGTCTTAGAGATCTTGGTGGATAAGTAATCATCAAATGAGCATTGACTCATCAATAGTAGCAAATATCATTCTAACATCATTGATTGATTCATTGACATCTGTTCATTTCTACAATCTAAATTACAACAAAGAAAACAACGGACTGTTTTAAAAAGAAATGCACTTTTAATTGTAAGAAACCAATGGTTATTGTACCTCAAAGACAGAATACAAATGATTCACCGGAAACTGAAACTAATCGATAAACTCGACCAATATCATCACAATGAAGTGAAAGTCATCAAAATCTCATAAACTAAAACAAATTAAACATCAACGTCAATTTTAAAAAATAACAAGAAAGAGAAATTGATCAGCTGAGTTGTGATAATGTGTCAGAAGTAGCTGGTTGTAACTTCACCTTTCTCTTGAAGATGAATCAATAGAAATTTGTCTGAGTTTTCATCATCTGCATTTATCATATTCAAAACTCGAAATGGTCAAAGCTGTAGCCAAATTTATGAAAAAATCGATCCAACAATATAGGTAAATGCATGTATCTACTTCTGATCACCATAAATTTCACATCAAAGAGAGAACCATCAAAAACTAATGGATAGAATTCCACAAATCCAAATATCCAGTAAAAAATGTCGTTCAATCAATGAATTAAAAAAATGCAAGTAACTAATTATAAATAACTTATAGATTTGAGACTAACAAAAACTAAGTTCATAAAGTAGTAAAAATCATATGTAAGAAGAATAAAAGTAACTAAGATGAGAATCCTGAAGTGAGATGAATAAACCGCTTCCGACATAGTGAATCGCAAACCCTAGGCTGAGGGCGTTTGAGCTCCTTGGTGCCTGGTGCATGTAGCTCCAACCCAATCAACAAAACACCAACCTTTCCAAACCAGATAAGTGAAACATAAATATACATCTTTGTGTTCGCTTGTGATACAGGTAAAATCATAAGCAATTTGCTTGACTTCAAGTTACTCGGTTGAATGGGAGTCTATATTGGAGATATACAGTCATCATTTTCAACCACTCTAACAAAGCAGAAAGGAACACAAGACCGAACTCAAAATCTGAAATCAACGGAGAAACACGTTATGATTAAAATGAAAATGTAAATCAAAATTGAAATCTAAATCTAAATTAAAATCTGGTTTTGAAGAATATTCCATCAAAAACTTAATAGAAGCAGAAGAAAGACTATTTTGACCACAAAATCAAGAATCAATGACCATAAAATCAAGAAGCAATAACCATAAAATTACAAAACCGATATATTCCACCAAGAGGAGGAAGGGCCTGGGGGTAAATCTATTGTTCAACTTACCCTGTTGTAATAGCACCAAACTTATTCATTTGCTTCAAATCATAACAATTTACAGAAACTAAACAAAAATATAGAAACATCTTACTTGGAGAATGCCAGAGATTGAGAAAACGGTAAGATTGGTGTTCAATATACACCAAACCCATTGATTGGTGTTCGATTTACACCAAGAGCGACGAATCAAGATACAGAGCGAGAGTGAGACCGAGAGAACAGAGCAATTTAATGGAAGAACTTTTAAAACTCATGATGAATATCAGTTTGAATCGTCACCGTGGGGGGATGGGAGAAGACGTAGATGTATGAGAGGTAAGGTCTAGAAAATATCATGGGAACGTGAAAAGAAAAGGTAATAGTTTGCATTGGTAACTTGTACCATATGTTACTTTAATTGTAGATTAATTTTTTTTAAAAGTAAATGCATAAAATAATAGTACTTAGTGCATTATGAATTGTTTTTAAGACTTTTAAGATTTTGTGCATAAATGTATAATACTTTATGCATTAAAAATTATTTTTAAGACTTTTGATAAATTTGGTCTATAAGGTAGTATAGATTATTAGTTAGTTTATTTAATAAAGACTTGTTAAAATAAAAATGACATTTTTATTTAATAAATTTTACATTAAAAAGAATTACATTAAATAATACAAATTAGAAAAACATATAAATAATACTAATTCGCCGAGTTAGTATAATGGTCCCACAAATGATCAACTAATGCATTTTGATATTCAAAGTGAGCGTTCTCATCTTTAATCTTTTTACGTTGAGCAAGAAACTGTTCAAGTCCACCATTGTTATTGTTCACCATCTCAACTCTCACGTCTTGCGCTTCACGTTTTTCTTCAATTAGTGCATTAATATCACGTTCATCTTTTATGATCATATTATGCATAATGATGCACGAAGTCATTATATCATGCAATATTTCTTTCCTCCATAACCGTGCAGGTCCTGCTACTATTGCAAATCTTGATTGCAATACGCCAAATGCACCTTCCACATCTTTTATACATGCTTTTTGTTTCATTGCAAAATATAGTATTTTAGGGTCACGTGGATCATAAATAGATAAGGGTGACCCATTTTGGACATATGTCATAAGCTAAATAATAACCATATTATATGATTTTTCTTTGATGACATAATTAGCAGGAGGAGTATTATCTTCTGCAAGATTTGCAAAAAGATGGGAGGACTTCAGAACATTAATGTCATTATTGATCCCGGTAAACCAAAAAATGCATATCATATCCAAAAATCATAGCCAACTACAGCTTCAAGAATAATTTTTTTTTGATAAAGTTGTTTCATATATGGTTATGAAATTGTTTCATACAATACTTAATGAAATTTTAATGAAATTGTTTCATGTATTTCTCTAAAATTAAAATAATGAAGATGATAATATCCATGATTAACACCATTCACAATAAAAATGAATAATCACCCTCTCATAATTACAAAAAAATGAACAAAATGAAAAATTATGATTGGTTGAATGAGGTTTGTACAGTTTGTACAAATAACATGCACTACTAAAAAACTGGGCATTTCCGGCGCCTTTTCCGGCGGACGCTTTCCGCTGGTAATTTTTCGGCGGACGCTTTCCGCCGGTAATTTTCCGGCGGATTTCCGGCGGAAGTTAAAAAGTCAACTTTTATTGACTTCAGCCAAAAATCCGCTGGAAAAATTAAACTGATTGTATTTCCGGCGGATTTCTTAATTAAGGGTTAGTTAATCTTTTAAAATTAATTAATCTTTGAAAAAAAATTAAAAATGATTTTTCTAAAAATATTTCCGGCGAATTTATTTTTTAAATTTTCCGCCAGAAATATTTTAGAAAAATAATTTTTAAAAATTAAAAAAAAAACTTTTAACCTTTTCCGACGGATTTCCGGCAGAAAATTAAAAAAAATTTAAAAGAATACATCCACTGGAAATCCGCCGGAAATGTTTTTAGAAAAATCTTTTTTAAAAAAATAAAAAATAAAATTTTTAACCGTTTCCTGCGGATATTGCCGTCGGAAAAAATCTCCTGTTTGGTAGTGGTTGTTTGCAAAATAAACCCCTCTCCCTCTCTTTCTCTCTCTCTCTCTCTCTCTCTCTCTATATATATATATATATATATATAATCTTACATTTTGGTGTAAGATTTAATGTTATTCATTTAAAAAGATTTATTATTTGCATCAAACTTCACATTAGTTTTTATGGATTTGGTCTATAACCCATATGGTGATGTCGTAAGTTCATTTGTTACATTTGCCGTTCTTAGGGTTTGCAAATTGTTAGAGATCTAGTCTTTCATCCAAACCATGGTTAAGTTGTGTTTTCAAAATCCTTTTGTAAGGAAACAAAGAGAAACAAGACATGTATTATTTAAACCTTTTATGAAGGAAAAATATCATTCGTGTTTCCTTTCAAACGTAGGAAGAAGGGTAAAATGGTATCTTTCTTTTCTTTGTTTTCCGGTTTAAGAATATAAAAGTTGTTTATTTTTCGTTCTTTCCATTTCTATTTCAAAAAACACAAATGAAAAACTTTTTTTACTGCTTTTTGTTCGATTTCTTTAATTTATTGTGTTAAATTCCTTTTGTCTTTTTGAACACTAAGGGGATGTTTGGTTCATGAAATTGGAAGGAATTGGAATGTCCAAATCTTTGACCAAATTCCAAATCCCATGTTTGGTTCACATAATAGATGTGAAGGAATCCTTCCAATTCCAACCAATTCTATCCAATTCCTTAATTCATTGATTTCACAATTCCACCGCATATACCACGAATTTCAAATTCCAAACTGACAAATTCCTTAGCCCTCATCCATTCATCGACGCTGTATCTCGATTTGCTCTGTTCTGCTATGCTCGATCTCCTTCGCTCGATCTTATTTAAAACTAAGAATGACAACGGGACAGGTTCGGGCCGGTTATTGGTATCCCTGTCGAGGATCTTATCGGGTCCCGTGTTTCCCCGATCCCCGTTGGGGAATTCGTGAAGGTAAAAATCCTCTTTTTCCCGTTCACCGTTGGTTGTAACCGAACCCGAAACCGAAACTCGAAACAGATCTAAAAATCCCCGAATTTAATATATATTATATATATGTATGCATATGCATTAAAATTAATATACATACATATATATATATATATATATATACACACACATATCAAGCCGGGTCGGGCTGATGATTACCGTCCCCTCCCCCGTCCACGTTAAAATCCCCGAATTTGTCCCCGATCCCCGCCCCGTCCCCGAACCCAGCCCGAAAGTTTCGGTTTCAGTTTTTTTTGCCTGTAATTTTCTCGTTGAATTCTGTGAACGAAACAAAAAAATTCCAATTCGGTTAAGAATTCCATTCCAATTTCATCCAACCAAACGCAATCAAAAGATATGGTCAAATTTCATCAAATTCCATTCCTTTCCCTCAAAGTCAAATTTATTTGATGAATTCCAATTCCATTGAATTCCATTCTACGAACCAAACGTCCCGTAAGTGTTTAATAAAACTTCAATTTCTCCCTTTCTCAATAGTTTCCAATGAAGCCTTTTATTTTCAGTATATTGTATTGATAATATATTTATCATACATCTTTTGTTTGCCTTCCGTTGTAATCTTCATTATTAATGTTTGAATCTGACTTTTGTTCCTGCAATAAAAACTAAATGTAACGAATGTCGCAGTTAATATGTAATAGTGTACGTTGTTAGTATGATATGTCGAAGATAACGACGATCGTTGGTAAATAATCCTCGACCAAGGGTCAAAGCTTCTATATCGTTGATAACCACAATCTTTGGTAGTAACATCATTAGTTGTACAAATCTTGGTCACAGACGTCCTGATCGCGGATAATATCTTCGATGGTTGAGGGGGTGGGTGATACACAAATGGATCCTCAATCCTGTATAGAGAAGGTATTGGTCTCGTAAGGGTCTACAAGAATAGAAACAGTTTGTAGAAGGGGGGGATGAATACAAACACAGTATTTTCAAATTTAAAATATA